ATTTAATCTAATAGTTATAAATATTATTAATATTTTGAATTGTTATTAAACCATTGAAAGTTTTCTTTAAATATTTCTTTAATTTTTATAAATATCTTTGAGTATTTCAAAAGTCAATCAAAATGATAATAATATATATAATTTTTATATATTATTAACAAATTTAATTATTCTTCAAATAATTAAAGTATTATATATAGTTAAATCTCTTTATAGTTATCACTCTTAAAAAAGCAAAATTAGATAATTATAAAGAAAATATAACTATAAAGAGTTTTTTTACTATATTTATATATAAATAAAAAAACAAAATAAGATGACTATAGAGAGATATAACTATAAATAGATATAATATTATAAAGTAATATAATATAATTATAGAGAGATTTAACTATATTATTACTATTTTATATGAGTTCTTGAGAGAGCTGGAAAATACTTAATAATGTTATAATAAGTTACTTGATCAAGGTAATTATAATAAAGTTTATTAAGAATAATGAGTGAGAGAGTATAATATAATCAAATCTATATAATATATCAAGTATTAAACTATAATTATAAATGAATCTAAAGAAAGATAACAATATGTTCATGATATGGTCAGCTAGAATAAGATTTGGAATTTTTAATAATAGTAATTTTATTATAAGATCATAATTCAATAATCATAAAGTATAATTTTATTATTTGATAAATTTATTATTAATTTATTACATATTTTTAATTATTATTTATTATTCTTGAAATTCTGAGAGCTATTGAATCTGAGAGTTATTGTTATTGAATTTATAAGCTATTACTATTGATTATAAACTAAGATACAAACTGTATTTATAAATATTTGATAATTATAAAATAATCATTTAGAATAATCATTTGCAATGATCATTCAAAGTACTTGAGATAATCAGTTAGAATGATCATTTAAAATAATCATTTGAAGTGATCATTTAAAGTAATTATGTAAAATAATTATACGAAATGATCATTTGTGATTATGAAAAATATCTAATCACAATATTATCTAAAAATAACTATCCAATAAAATATGAATATGAAATTAATTAATAGAATATAATAAAATATCATCCAATTAAATTTATAATATGAATTAATCAATAAAATATTCATATTATAACAATATATAACAAATTGTTTAATGAATAAAATCAGATATAATACTTTATTTATAGCAAGATATAAGAGAATTTTAATCAAAAATTCAAATAAAACAAATGAATATATTTTATTATAAAGTATTATTATTTATCTTTATAAATTTATTTATTAAAAAAAATTATATTAATTATATTGATAAAAATAACTTATTTAAAAATTAAAATTGGCAAATATTCTTTTTTAATAAGAGAATATTTAATATAGAAAAACAAATTTGCATTATACCTAATTTTAATAAGATTTATATTTTTTCTTTTATATATTTCCTGCTTTTTTTAATCACACATTCTCTATTCATTCAAATTTATTTTTCTTCACTTGTAAAATATTGAGTTCTTAAAATAATATTAGAATTCTTGATATTTAAAAGTCAATTTTAGTTTCTTATTATAATTATCAAGTTATAATTTTTTTAAAAATGAGACTGAGCATAACAGAAATTTCTTGTCTAATAAATTTTTGAAAATATATTGATAATTATACTCTTTTATACAATAATGTAGGAAATATTATTTAAATTTCTTTGCAATTAATAGATATGAATATTTTTATAGGATTAAAGAAATATATCTTGATTATTGATTCAACTAGTTCTTTTAAGATATTGTTTATTATACTTTCTAGTATATTTTTTAATCTAAACTAGCTTGAATAAAGCAAATAAATCTAGTAGAATAATATTTTTATATAAATTTATTGATAGATATTATATTTTTTTGAATTCTTGATAACTTGAAGTTCTTTAAACTTAAAAGATCTTTTAGGATTTCATTTTATTAAATAAACTATAAATTAATAAGCTTATCCTTGAAATAATATAAAATTAATTGTAATAAATTCTTCCTGATAATAACTTTTTTGATCTTATATATATGCAATAACTAATATAAATTTGTGACTTATGCCTATAATTATCCTCTAGCTTATCAGATTTTAATAAATATTTAACTATTATATTTTTTTTAGCTTTATCTCTTCATCTTTCTCAATTGCTCTTTTAAATTTAGTAAAAGATTTTGATATAATTTATTTTAATATGAGTTGATATTATTTTGATAAAATGAGTTTTATTATTATTTATAAAACTAATAATTTGTTGAATTTTATCTCATAATTTTGAGTGCTTTTCTTTTTTTTAATAATATAATGAATTTTATAAATTAATTTTACAATATTTTTTTTAAAACTTTAATCAAGATTAAGTTTTTAAAGTTATAAAGATTAATAATATATATAATAATATTATATCATATTATTCTTTAAGCAAATGCTTCTCAGAATAAGATATTCTTAAGCAAATATTTCTCAGAATAAGATATTTCTATCTATCATTAATAATAATGAAAATATAAAAAGATTAGAAGAATTTTTACAAATCTTTTTACAATTTTTAAACTATTTTTTAATATAAGTAAATATTTAGCTTTGAAATATATTGTAATATTTATAATTAGTAAAATATAAATATATATTTTTCTGTTATTTTAATTATCATAATATATATTAATATATCACATTAATGAACTTTATTTAAAATTTAATTTTTGAAAAGCTTGCTTTTGCTTTACATTTTTTTGAAATAAGATATATTTGGTAATTATATTGTTACTATTTTTTATAAGTTCTTAGAAGAACTAAAAAGTGCTTAATAACATTATAATAAGTTACTTGATCAAGGTAATTATAGTAAAGTTTATTAAAAATAATGAGTGAAAGAGTATAATATAATCAAATCTATATAATATATCAAGTATTAAATTATAATTATTAATGAATCTAAAGGAAAATAACAATATATTCATGATGTAGTTAGCTAGAATAAGATCTAGAATTTTTAATAATAGTGTTTAATTAAAGAGTTTTATATAATAAATATATAATTTTATTATAAGATCATAATTTAATAATAATTTTATTATTAAGTGAATTTATTATTAATTTATTATATATTTTTAATTATTATTTATTATTCTTGAGATTCTAAGAGCTATTAAATCTATTTAATAATTAGTTAAGATACATGATATATTTATATAAATTACATATTATACAATATAACTAGTTCTATTATTATTATCATTAATACAAATATTACTAGAATTACTGGTATTGCTGATGTTAACACAAATCTAAAAATCAATAACATTTAACATATAATTATTCAATAAAATAATAGCTATTTAAAAATAATTATCTAATAAAATATAATAGAATATTATCTAATTAAATTTATAATATGAATTAATTAATAAAATAAGAACTAAGTATTCATATCATAACAATAGTATTTACAATCAAACTTAATAAATATAAAAATAAAAATACTTTAGTTAACACTATGTAAACTTTTAATTTTTACTAAATACCATAAATTAAAAGTTGTAGCTTATATTTAAAGCTACAAATTAGTATCTAATACTATATGCTGATCTTTAATCAAACTAGAACCAGACTTGAACTTGTATAATAGTTCAGTTCAAGTTCAGTTCAAACTTTGAATCTTTCTTGAATTCAAGCCAAAGTTTAATTCGAGTTTAGTTTGAATTTTGAACTGAACTTGAATTCAGACAAAAATCCAGTTCAGTTCAATTTATAGGAACACTAATATTTATATTGATTTTGGATTTTGAAAAATAAATTACTTATAATAAATTATTGACTTAAAAAACAATTACTTGTAAGACTTATTGTTTCATATTATAATTTTTGAAGTTTTAAAGTAAAATATAGTATCTTAGTAAAGTTATTGGATATTATCATAACACAAACATACGTTATCTAATTTAGTAATAGTTTTTAGTTTCTCCTATTCTAAAAACTTAGTTTTTTCCATCTTTAAATTAATAAAAATAAGTAAATAATATATAAATAACTTAAACTTCATAAAAATGATAATTATTTGCATTTTTAGTTAATTCAATAATTTTACTTATAATTTTTTTAATTAAATTATTAATATTTATTTTGCGATAAAAATAAAATTTCAAACTATTCAATAATATATTTTTTGATTATATTATCCAAAAAATTCATATCAATAATTTCCAGTTGGTTATCAAGTTGACTTTTATCCATTTCTAAAGTTCTCTTTCATTTTTCAATAACTTTTTGATAATAATTATTACAAGTTCAAAATTATTTTAAAGTATTATATCTTATAAACTTTGTTAAAGACTTGAAGTTTTTGCAGCTATTACAATAAGGATAAATCAAAAAAAATTTTATTTTATAACAAAAAGTTAATATAAAAAAAGATAGAGATTGCAAATTAATATCAATATAAAAAAATGTGACTTATTAATATTGGTATGAACTTTTGTAAACATCATTACTAAATAAATTATTTTCTGCAAAAAAGTTTGAAAGTTGATAAAAAAAATTAATAATTTTAACAATATGTAAGTTAACAGGAGTAATAAATGTTATAGGGATGGAGAATAATCAATATTAGTTTTATAATGAACACTATTTTACGCAAGTAATAGGTTCAAGTGAAGGTATCCTGTCAATCCAAAACCTAATTGGCCACTGCTATACTTATTGATTAAAAGGCGAAGAAAATGGAGTTTATTGTGTTGGTGAGCAGTTAATAGGTTTCAGTATCGGAAAATCGGGCTAGTGGCAAATCAATAACCCGCATATATTATGTGCTTGTGATACACAAGCCACATAAAGTCAAATGTTCGAATTTTTGTATGCATCGTATCATTTGCAATCACGTGAACGTAGACATTTTATATTAAAATACATATGTAGAAATACATCGTCTAAACTCATAAAAATATATTTTATACATGACCATAAAAATACAATTACTGCTATATCTCTTCAATACCACCACCACCACCACCATCCTCTAATTTCCTCACAGACTCGCGAAGCTCACTCAAAGAAAGCTTTTCGTCTTTTTTCTTGTCACCACTGCGTTTTTTACGTTTAGGTTCGGATTGTTGTCGAGCGACCATCACTGGGACCGAGGAATTTTGTACCAGATATGTGCTTATACTTCCAAGAAACATACTGTTTATTTATATATAAAAATACAGACATAAATGATAAATTATTCAAAAATTAAAAAATTAAAAAAATATATAAATTACCCTTTGATAGAGCTTAGTCCTCGGCTGCCGGCAATTACTAATGTAGGTTTGATTAGATCAATCTTTTATATGATAGTAAGAACATTGTAAGAAATCATATTATCAAAAAGGAAAGAAATTGATCAGGTATTAAATTGTTTACCATATCCGTAAGCATGCTCCGTGTATTTTTCGCAGTGACAACTTGAATTTCCACAGAAACGGGAAATCTCGTATTACCCAAAAATGTACGCGCCACTTTAGCTATTTTTTGAGCTACCTCCAATCTCTATTAATCATAGAAAATTGCCAATAAAGCAATCAATTTTTTTCCCGCAAGCTTTAAATAACCCAATACAAACCTCATTAATGATTGTCTGAAAACTATTATATAATGATGACACTGAATTCGAAGTACCTAAATATCTCGTAATAGAATAAAATTTTGTTAGAAAAGAATAAGAAGATAGCATACAGTAATAAAAATTACAATTATTTTTCTTAATAATTATTCGACCTCTATAATTGACAAGAAATCTAATTACCGGATGCAGATTTATCTTCCTCCAACACACTCACAACATACAACTCACTTCCTGGCCGCAACACTTTCATTACCGTCCACTCAAAAGCATATAAACTCTCGGACGAGAGATCAGTAGCTACCATAAATGTTCTTTTTTTTGATTGCTGTGGTGTTGGTTGTATTGATTTATTATCGGTTGATAAGTCTAAATAATTAATACGAGAATAATCACCGCTACTGCGTTTATGAGACACCAAAATCTTTGTTATGTCAGAGTCAGCTTCAACAATTGGCTCGTGAATTGTAGTCATAAATCTTGACAATATATTTTCTTTTTCTTCGTCATCATCATCATCGAAACTTGATATCATTGTTCTTTGAGCATTGTTGTAAGTGTTATTGGATTCTTCATCGTCATCGTCATCCTCTCCCTCATTATCTTCATCCTGTCCCTCTTGATTATCATTTTCCTCCTTTTTTTCTCGATAATGTAATGCTCCGTCAATATCATGAATTTTTTTAATGTACATCGCGGCTTCAGAGTCGCTTAAATCGTATGCGGAATTTGTTCCATCGAAATCATCAAATTGTGTGGTAGCAGCTGCTGATGTTGACAACACTTTATCTTCTTTAACTATTTCAATGGAATCTTCCATCTTAGAGAAAAAACGAGTAGAATGAGACACGCGCGGTTTTAAATGGAATGAGATCTACTGTATTTATTTAGTCATTTCATTGATCATCTATTGCATAAGCCTACATACAAATCTATGACATCAAACTGAGTCATTGTTATTCGTAATCCAAAATTAAATTAATTAAAGTATAACGATAAAATTCCGTAGTCTTTTTTAAGGTTTGCATCTTTCTGTAAATCGGGGATATAGACAACAATCTCTGACGGTATGACGATCTAGCATCCATGCTAAAAATCGTTCAACACCTAGTCCATACCCACCATGCTCGGTTGTACCATATTTACGTTGATCAGTGTACCAGTAATACGGGGCAGGATCGATTCCTATGATGATAAATTAGATCGTTATGTTGTTCAATCTAAAGAATTGTCTGTATTCAATAGTTACCTTCACGTTGATAACCACGAAGAAGTTCATCCTAAATGTATTGATATTCAAAATAGCATTACTCAATTATAGTATTATTGTTACATCATTAATATTAAATAATAAATAAAAAAACACACCAAATCTGTAATCCTCATACTTCCACCCACAATTTCGCCAACACCTGGCATCAGCACATCCACACTCTCAGTAACCCTCGGATCATCTTTACACCTTTTCATATAAAACGCCTTAATCTCCGCCGGGAACCGACACAAGAAAATAGGCTTATTAATTTTATCAGTCATTGCACGCTCGGGAGCTTCCGGGATATCTTCGCCAAACTCGTAGAATGTCCCGTCGTCTTTTTTAATGTCGTTGTCTTTCAAGTATTGGATCGCGTCTTTGTAGTCGAGACGGAGAAAAGGTCGTTCGGGTCTCTTTAAGTCCTTATTTAGAGAATATATAAGGTCGGCTATTGGTTTATCTGATAGTACGCGATCGATGGTGTCACAGATTAGGTCTTCTAGGCAGTCTAACAGGTCGTCGAAAGTGATAAATGCCATTTCGGCTTCTAAATGCGAGTATCTTTATATTAATTGAAATTTGTGGTTATTAGATTTTGTATTTAAAGATCAGAGACAAAATGAATGAATAAATAATATATTACTCTGACAAGTGGCGCCGAGTATGACTTTTTTCTGCACGAAAAGATTCCGCAATAGTAAACACATCTCCTATAGATGGAAGACATGTTTCAAGATAAAGTTGACTTGATTGTGTAAGGTAAGCCTATTAAGAACAAAGAATAAATTACTCTACAAATACTGAACGATAAAAACGATGAAAGGTAAGAATAACTTTATAGTAAACCTTGTCGCCATAATAAGCTAATTCAAAAAGAGTAGAACCACCTTCTACCTGAGTCTGGACCATATGTGGCGGAGTTACTTCTGCGTATCCTTTTGAATGAAAATGATCCCGGAAAGCTTTCAAGACTGCGGAACGAACTCGCAAAACTGATGAAGCTTTTTCGCCACGAATGACCAGATGTCTTCTATCGTATAACAAGGAAGGATCAGTTTCAGTGTTAATTTGATTGGTGAATGCTTCGTCGCCTCCAGGCGCTTTATGAACTAATTCCCAATAATCAACGCGAAGTTCATGATTATCTGGAGCCTAAGAATATTAATAGATGTTTGAGTACCAAGCCAAGATGAAATCTGTTAGACTTCTTACTTGTTTTCCTTCCGGCAATTCAGAAATAACACCATAGACAGTGATGGTAGATTCAAGGGTCAATGTTATCGCATCGTAAGTACGACACTAAAAATTTTTTAAGAAAAATGATATCCCAATTGACTTGATCAGCGATTGTAGGATGATTGGTATTTAGTTGATAGCAGATAATCTTGCTAACTTACCAAATCACCATCCAAATAACATTGTATATAACCGCTTCCATCGCGCAACACAATAAACATCATATCTTTGCCTTGCGTACGAATACGATGAATCCATCCAGAGATTTTGACACGTGTATTACGTTTACTAATACCTTCACGAATCTTAATCTGCGCGACGAGAAATTTTCATTCGTCATAATGATACTTTAAATAAATCATTTCAATTAGATTTGTTCCGAGAAAAAAACCTTTTTGGCTTCGGGAAGCGTCGAATCCTGTTTCAAGACAATTTTTTTAGCTTCCTCAATTTTCTTTTGCTCAGCGTCTGCTAACTCGCGTTCTTTTCTTTCTTTTGCTTTTGCTTGTTCTTCAGCTTTTTGAGCCTTTTTGGCTAATAATATAACATGGCTTTTGGCTTTTTTGAAAGCAGCCCCCGATATATCTTTATACTCTTCTTCTGAAGTTTTTCGAAGCTGAATTTTTATATTCTCGCCATGTTTTTGAATTGCATAAACTGCGGTCTTATATGCTTGTTCTTTTGTTCCCTGACCAGCGTCGTCAGAGCCTTGAGCCTCGTCGACATATACCAAGACCTCGCCGTTTGACATTATTACTGTTGATATTAACGAAAATCTGATCAATTCAGTAATCGATCGTGATTCCTTATGCTCGATCAATTGATGCGTCAAGCCGTTTATTTGTTCTTTGAGTTCCCGTGACACATACACATACCTATCAAATAACCTTTAGAGAAAAATTTTCTCATCACTACACACCCGGCAGCGGTAACAAGGGAACTTTTATTCTGGGGTTCTAGTCATCCGTCATATAGTATTAGAAGTAGAAGCAGTTCTTTGCTCTGTTCTCTGTTAACAAAAATTAGAGTTATAAAACACAAAAAAGAACTCTCATCTCTTTTCAAGTAAATGCTCTTTCCTTTTCATGGTCTTTTCTTCTTTAAGGCTCGAGATTGTAAGTATTTTTTTGTGTTATAGAATGTTAGTTTTTCAATCCGAATTGAAAGAACTGCTAGTAGTAGTTAGTCCTTTGCTTGCATTCTTTTGTGCCGAGATGACGGTAAAAAATGGATATAGATAAAAAGTATTACTTGGATGTTCAACACCTTTGGAAACGACGTGTCTCTGTTAGTTTGTTTCGCTTTTACGTTTTTGAGTCGCCGGATTTTTATCATTATTTATTTCTATTCTTTGATACGTGCCAGCGTTTTCTTTGCTTGGTAAATTCTTGAAGAATTATTATATCATTTTACTATTATTATTATTATTATTATTATATTGGATTCTTTGTTTCAAGACATTTTTTTCTTTATTTTTTTTTTGCTTCTAACCGTTAACTTCTTTCTTTGCGTGTTACTTCTACATCCTCTATCATCTCCTCATCCTCATTATCCTCCCACTACTACTACCACTACTATTACATTTGAACCACAATTTGGGTGTATTCGAAAATTTGACCCCCAAAATCTTTGAACAATTCCATCATATAGAGAAAGTATTCGCCAAGATCTTTTAATTATTGCATTCCAAAATCAATCGAGTTCCAAAAAAACTTTCAAATTCTTTATTGTTGAATTATTGTAAGTGCTTTTTATTCGTTCTTAAGAAGGTGATTGGCCTTCACACCTTTTTACTTTATTTTGTTCTGTTTTGATGTTTTTGAATATAATCTCACTGAGTTTTTGACTTTTTTTAATTCCATTTCACTACTAAATATTTTCTCGCTTTCTTTACAAAAAAATTTTTTCAAACAAAAATGACTATAGTCTGGTACTCTTTTTCAATCAAAAACATACTCGGATTGATTAATTTGATTATTTAAATAATTACTACTACATCATCTACACCGTCTTTTAATATTTGGCTTCGTTTACTCGGTACTTCGCCTTTCTTTTTCTTACTTTTCTCTTTTCTCTATAACTTTTTTCGATTTCTTTTTTACTATATAATATTTTCGAAGACTAATAACATTAATTGAAGAAAAAGAATAATAAGAAAAGCGAATTAGCTAGCTGATATAGAAAAAAATCGCTTTGATAACAAACAAACATAAACATAAACAATAACATCATCATCAACTAATGTGTGTGTGTGTGTGTGTTTCAAAGCTCTAACAAAACGACGTTCCTAAAAGTGCTGGCTCTGATTAATATATATAAATATATATGTATACATGTATATACAGATTCTCGAAGCCTCAAGTTTTATCATCTCTCACATACTACACAAAACATATACTGAAGCTCAATAATCCAACATAATCATCATGAAACGCAGTAGCGATTACGGTAATCAGCACGAAAATATCAAGAAGCCACGGTTCGGACAAAGCTATAATTACGCGTTGGCCAATAGTGGTATGCGAAGTGAACTTGGTCAAGCGACTGCATCCGGCGATCTGTATAGTCATCAATTTCCTCCTGTAGGTCCCTCGGCGATGATGATGGCTAATCATTCTTATACTCAAGGCGCTGCTGGTTTCCATCCCGCGCAAAGTGGATTTGCTGGAATGGGTGGATATCATCAAGGCGCATCACAATACGCAGCTAGCATGAGTCAGTATAATCCTGGTGTCAATAATATGGTTCCGCAATTCTCTGGTGCGTTCTCTGGTGCACAGTTCCCCAATGCATACCCACAAGCAGCAGCAGCCGCAGCACTCTCCTCGGTCACTAACTCTACTGGACGAACTGTTTATCTTGGAAATATACCAGCTGATGTGCCAGCTGACGAGATCTTAAATCAAGTAAAAGTTGGCCCTATAGAATCAGTTCGCATACTTCCCGAAAAAAATTGCGCATTCATTTCTTTTATGGATGGAACTGCAGCTGCGGCATTCTATCATGATGCCTCGACGAGAAAGTTGATGATTCACGGTCAAGAACTGAAAGTTGGTTGGGGAAAACCTTCACCTGTTCCACCGAATGTGCAAGTTGCTGTAAGTACTCAAAATGCTTCTCGTAATGTATATTTGGGAAATCTGGATGATACAATCACTGAGCAAGTATTGCGGGATGATTTGGCGAAATTTGGTACTATTGAAACGGTGAAAATTGTGCGAGAGAAAAATATCGGATTTGTTCATTTCTTGACTATTAGTAGCGCCATTAAAGCTGTCCAAACATTACCGCAAGAATCCAAATATACAAACAAAAAAGTTAATTATGGAAAAGATAGATGTGCTGTTAGACCAGCATCAGGAAATGGAAATTCATCCCAGTTTACTTTTGCTCCTAATGGCACAATCGGGTTTCAAAGTTTTGGTAATGCTGGTGCAATGGGATTTGCGACCTTTGATCCATACCAAGTTGTAGCCGCGGCTGCAAACACGCATCTTGAAAATGGAGGTGAATTACGCAGTCCTACCAGTCCACTGTTTTCATCGGCATCTTCCGCGGCAGGAAGCGCAACTTCTGGATCACAAGTTGGTAATCGCACTATATACCTTGGAAATATTCATCAAGATACCACTTGTGAGGAAATTTGTAATGTCATTCGTGGTGGAATTCTTCATCAGATCCGTTATATGGCCGACAAACACATTGCCTTTGTCACCTTTGTTGACCCAACAGCCGCCAATAACTTTATGTTCTTAGCACAACATCAAGGAGTCGTGATCAAGAATCGACGTCTTAAAGTAGGATGGGGAAAAAATTCTGGACCATTACCTGGAAATATTCAATTGGCTGTCAACACACAAAATGCATCACGTAATGTGTATGTCGGTTCGTTGGATGATTCTATCACCGAGGAGAAATTGCGACGTGATTTTTCCGAGTTTGGAGAAATCGAGCTAGTGAATATCCTCAAAGAGAAAAGTTGCGGATTTGTCAATTTCACCTCGATAGTGTATGCCATTAAAGCGATAGAAGGAATCAAAGCAAAAGAAGAATATAGAAAATTCCGTATCAATTATGGAAAGGATCGATGTGGCAATGCTCCAAGAGGTCTTACCTCCGGTGGTACATCAACCGGTAGTGCAAGTAAAACCAATAAAGGACGTAATAGCGGGGAATCTGATGCCAGAATACTTCACGATGGTGACACTTCAGAATCTGAAAATGAAATTATTGAGGCGCCGGACGATGTAAATGAAATCGACGATGATTTCGCCAATTTGGATTAGACGTCATTCTCATCTTCTATTTTGCATCATGATAATCAAAATTATTTCCAATTGAATTCTGCTCCCTTATCTTATTCTTTTGCTATAAATACTCATAATACCCGAAAATAAAATTGCATATGGTCCATCCATCAATTAATTAGACCAAACACTTTCTTGTAGGTAATTTTTTCCAAAACCCAAATTTCTTTTATTTTCTGTCTTGCATATAATATACACACACATATATATATACCCTACTACAAATTTTCTTCATTTACTTTATAAACGGCACCATGGTGACGATGATGTTGGGCTTAGCACTTTATTATTTTTATTTTTATTTTTATTATTATTATTATTATTATTATTCTTATTATTGCTCATATTTGTATGATGGAGGGAATTTGGTCGTTATTGTTTTTATTAATATTAGTCAAAACATCAAATTATCATTAGAAAATGAACTAATAATAATACATTATTAACTACTTTTATTTCATTCTCTTTATCAATACAATATATACTTTGTGATTTCACGTATTTGATAATAATTCTGCTTTTTTATTACTATTACTATTATTCATTAGAGTTTAATATCCTTCTATATAAATTCGACTTCTTTTATAATTGTTAGAATCGTGTTATTGTGATTTGCGAGATTTCATCGTTAATCTCACTATTACTCTACTACTCTTATCAAAGTTTCGTCTCATTTGTATATTCAAAATCATTATCATTGCATTGCCATTATATTAGTATCGTTAAACCAAAAATTTTGCCCAATGTCACAAGACTAATTTTATACAACTATAAAGTAAATATTTTTGATCATAATGATCCTCTTCTTTGTACCTAATTTACATGAATACCCCTTTTTTAGTTTGTTTTTCTTGTAGGTACTTTTTGCCCTTTTTTTTACATTTCATTATATATATTTTTTGTGAAGGCATTTCTCGTATAAAAATAATTAGGCTCCTTTTTGTTAAATCAAAAAAAAACGTATTTTTATTTAAAAAGACAATAACCAGTTTTTGTATTATCCCCTTTGGGCCTTGGAAGGATATTAATAGAACAAATTGAGTAAAACCGGGTATAAATCCAAATAATTGTGTTAATTATATATTATTATTACTATTACTATTTAATGTAACAAGAATGCAATAAATTTTCATCGATATAAATTCTATTAAGAATTGCTACCAGACGCGATGGGCGGTTGTTCTTGCTGTTCTTTTTCGTCATGAATGATTTCCACATATTCAACTGGCAAAACATAATTATCCACCTCTTGGAAATAACGTAACCTTTGTTCACGTTCGTGTCTTAATACCTAAATATAACATGATCATGTGATTCAAAATCAGAATAAAATAAGATTAATGATACATTATTTCTTACCTCTTTTTGAATATTATTCATATGTTCGTCGTCTTCTTTATTATCACTCTCATCTTTATCCAAATCGGATGATGCCTTTTCTTTACCTTTCTTTTCTTTTAATTTTTTAGTTTGTCGCGTATTCCTAGACGTCCGTTTTTTCCGATTTTTTTTTTGATCTTCGTCATCATCGCTTGAAGGTAAATGTTGCTCGTCACCATATTCAACAACAGTAATGATTTTTTTACGACGACGAGGTGGTAAACGATCTGAAATTGGAATATTAAGGGTATTCTTTCTTTTTCGACTATTCTTTGGTTCTGTATTGTTGTTATTGTTATTTTGCTTCCCTCTGGCTTTTGTTGATGATGATTTTGAAGTTGTGGGATTTGATGATGAATTGGCTGTTTCAATATCGCGCATCTCGTTTCCGTCTTCTGGTGAGGTTGATAATATTGTTGAAGGTTTTGGTGGTAGTGGTGATTCAATTACTTCTGATGCGTCCTGATCAGTTTCTTTTGATATAGTTTCCTGAATACTCTCTTTATCCCAATCATTATTATCATTATTTTCTCCCATATTATCATTATTTTCCATATTATCATCAATATCATCAATAATTCCATTGTTATTATTGCTACTATTATTGTCATCAATATTATCATCAATATTATCATCATAAATATTATCATTATTCATATGCATTTCGAAATCACAAAATTCTGTCTTGTTTAAATACTCTTGAATTAACTCGAATTTCGGTATTTGTTCAATTTGTTTCGAGCTTGACGCGCCATCCTGACTCATACTGTAGCTTCCTTCGAGCACAGTCAGCGATGACGTTGACAATACAGTAGTATTGTGTTCGGCTGCAGCAATAGCATGCGCCAAATATTCGTCGTATTCTTCCTGAAGAAATTTATTATATTGACGTGTTTCGGGTGATGACTGTGGTGGTGGTGGTGGTGGTGAAAAAGAATTCTCTTCGCATGCCTTGCCTTTACCTTTATCCGCCTTTTTACTACCAATTTGTGCTGCTTTTTTATTACGGGCTAATTTGAATTCTTCAAGAATGCTATCACTGTTAATTTCGTCTTTATTATTACTACCAGTGGTATTATTTGACTTCAGGAAACTACTACTGATGGTGGTTGTTGTGTTATTATTTTGAGTTTCGCGTAAAACATTGCGTTGAATGGCCCTAGGTGGTCTTGGCATTTTCGATAAATACTACTTTTTATTATTATTTGCGATAAAAGAACGAGTTCTAGACGCGAAACAAATAACACGATTAATGAAAATGACGGGTGACGTTTCATTTTCATGGGAAATTAATTAATTTCTATTTTTGTCATTATATGTAGGGCAACTCTATCGTACGATTGTGTCACATCATCTGTTAGATCAGAATTTTGGGATTCGAAACGGTTGATTACTAATACTGTAAGTCTTCAAATAACGAGGCCTTTGATTTTTTAGAAACGCAATTATTTATTGTTTTTGTTTTTTACATTGGGGTTTAAATTAAAAAAATTTCGTTCGTGATTTATCCAACAAATTGGCTCAAAAACTTCGTGTTACTATTAAAGGACAAGTAATTAGGCGAGGAGACGAAGAGTAAGTCATACTGCTATCACAACAAAAAAAATGCCAATAATAATAATAACTCAAAATTCATGTCAATGTAATTTAATTAATTTAATTTTCATTCAGCTATCCGTTAGCTACCAAAATTTTTAATTAAGGAATTGAAGCTTCGCCACTTGTTTTGGTTAAAGCTGAGATACTAACGATGTTTTCAAGTAAGTGAATTAATATTACTATTATTCATTAATTGATTGAATTATGAATCATAATATTATATTTATTAAAATATGAATACAGAGCCATAATTTTTGCAAATGAAAACGGACTCCCCGCTTCAGTGAAATCAGGCAGACACGGTGTCTAAGGCTGGTGTATTCAAGGGCAACTGGTAATTGATCTTTCTCAAATGGGTAAACGTTACTCGACGCGTAAATAACTATGGAACATCAGATGACGAAGACTATGTTACCAACGCCGCCTCATGAACATGGGACAGTAACATTTGACGCCGGATGCTCTATCCGCGAAATCGATCAAGAAACCAGCAAATACGGATACCACATGCTCTGAATGCATATCCAACTTGCGAAAATTTACGTATTAACTATATATATAAATAATTAAACAAGGAAAAAAAGTAATAATTAATGCAAAATTATTGTGCATTATTAATTACGATATTCCAAAAAGATTTTTAGAAAAATGGATATCTGTCAATCGCGTTATTATTTTTATCAATATTGCCAATCCGATTTCACTGCAAAATAAGCTTTAATCCTTAGTGGCGGTATCAAATTTTTGTCACGCAAGTTTGGGCTTTCCATGGATAATTTGATAGAATGCGAAGCAGTATTAGCGAATGAAAAAGAAAATTCAGGTTGTTTATTATATATTAAATATAAGTTTCTTTATGGTCTAACGATCATCTCTAAATTGAAGTATGTAATAATGAATACTAAATTAGACATTTCTGGGGAACAACATTAGGAGTCGTAACGAGATTCCACTGCAAAGTACACAACATATTAAATATCTACTCTGGCCACATAATCTATTCCTTCAACACCAACACAACACCCGCCCTAATTTCGCATTGGCACGACTGTATAAAAGACGCGCCGAGGGAACTCTTCGGTTCTGTGATATTCACAGCTGCGGAACTGGTATAATCGTAATTCAAATCTGCTATGCTGGGAGTGAATTTATCGGTAGTCATTATGTGAATGCGATAACTAGTTTTCCGGGTGGACGGTGTCTGATGAAAGATGTTATTACTAGACCATTTTAAAGTGGCAAGAGAGTATGGCGAATGTGCTAAAACACGGAAGTCAGTAATTATTTTGATTTTAACTTGGATGGAACTAGTTATACTGTCGGTGAAGTCTATCAAGCCTTTTTAGTTATATTATTGTTTATTCTTATTAGGTGGAAAGATATATTTCATTAAAGGTGACTTAAGAATATTTCCTGATGACTTAATTAGAAGAATTGTTGGTTCATTTCAGGGCGCAATACTCCTCCTGGAGCTGGTAAAGAATTAATCCTTCATTCAACAAGAAAATTATCATAATTTTAACTAATTTAATGATTGATTACTCAATAAATATAGTGTACATGATTCAAATGGCGCCATTAATGACATAGCACCCGAAGCAACAACATTTTCTCATCGTGATGCTAAATTTGAAGTAGTTGCAATTTTGCAATGGAAAGACAAAGAGAGTGATGAACGTATAATTGGAGAAGGAAATGCGGTAGGTGTTTTTTTTTGTCTATCGTATATACAACGAATTCGTTATTAATCGTGCACATCTTAATTAACACTCATTATAGTGGTTCAACGATATATTCAAACCATATTCAGTTGGCGGACCTTTTCCAAACACGTTAGGACGAGGTAACTGTTTGTTTTGGACGAGAGAATTCGAGCAACTTGTACAAAGAAAAAAAAGAGTCGATCCGCATAATGATACATTTTGGCTTAATTCGAGACAATTGAATGATAATATAGTATAATAACATGATGAGTTATTAATCTCTGGGTGGCAGACACAAAAAGTTTGGTATTTGTTTTTAAATTAATTAATTTTGTAATTTTATAACAAATAAATTTATTTTGCTTACTTATTTACATCTGAATAGTATTAAATTTAGTGAGTTTTAAGAAAGAACAAACACAAATCATTTGTATACATTTATCTACATCATTATATATATATATATATAAAATAAAAACGAGCAAGTCATGACGTGAGATTGTTATGCTTTTTCTAAAGTGTTTATTTGACTGTCCCATCTCTGATACACGGATTTGATCTGAACAACTACCACCATCTGTCTTGTTGAAATCTGAAGAAATAACTTGATCCTTGATATAATACTAAGCAAACAATTATCGTTACCCAAATATCTATATCTATCAGCAAGCCACTTTTGAAGTTCCTTTAGTCTTCACGCGTAAAATGGTAAGAAGTTCATTGAGGAGACTCGATTCAATTTTAATTGTCAGATAAAGAATTTATAGGAAAAGACACGTTCAATTATAAACTATATTCCAAAATACTTTCTTTCTCGTGTGTCTTCGCGAATTTACATTTGACTTTAGATTCGATTTACACCTCTCAATCAAGGGGAGGAGGAGGCTTCCTCTCAAATACAAATAGTAGATTTGCGTGAACTAGAGGTTGAAACTCGCTCATTTTTCGGTGTCATAAAAGAGGAAACATCACCTTTTACTAATAATCTTAATGAATGTACCCTGTAATTCAAGATTAAAAGCTGTCAAGAACAACTTAATGTCGCCTTACACAATTTTCATTTACACAACATAACAAAAGCTAAGGGAATATTGAGGGAGCTCCTCGAGAAAGATATAATCATAGAAGATATTCAACCGGTATAGATATATTGTTCGTTTGATTTACTTTTGATTTAATCAATTAACAATATTGAATACTATAATAATATACAAAATACAAAATGAAAAGATCGAGAAGGGCACAAATTTGAGTCAAGCAACACCACAACATCAAATACAATTTGGTGTTTTCAAAAATTTTGCAGAGATTTTGTATCTGGAGTTTCAAAAAGATCGGAAGAAGCGTACTGCAGAAAATGCAATCCTTTATTGCAAGAAGGCAATTATATTTATAATCAGATTTCTTGTCTCGCCACGCAGCACGATCTGGATTGTATCGTGTTTGCGGATTATTTTATTAACTGTTTTTTACTCATAATAGGCATTAAATATTGACGCGACAGACCGACAGTCTGCCTACAAACTTGCCGTCTTGTATGGATCTGAAGTGATAGATAATCGTATATTAGCGCTAAAGTTTTCGAATTTAGGCCTTTATGGACCGTCGCCTATAATGACACCACCACGAACTAGTTTTTCCCCTTTACAATGGTCATGTTTGGAAGAGCTTGCACGCGTATGTATTATTTATAAATAATAAATCCTTCCTTCGTTCACATCTTCATATGAATAATAAAATTCTATGCATGTATAGTTACATTGGGATATTGGAACCTTCGAAACGAGTCTTGAATTGTGTGACCTCGGGTTAAAAGCTGATTCTAATAATGCAATGCTGAATCAATTAAAAGCACAATTGATGGAAACATGGGTTAAAAATTTCTTGACCACGTTAGTAGTAATAATACACGTTGTTTTATGGCACGTCTGTTGTTTTCAAATAATCACCTGGTTGTTGTTGTTTTGTACAGAGATTATTACTGGAACGCTCCTCAAATCCAAAAAAGTTCACATGGGATTATAAGAAGACGCATTAGAGCCACAGGTTGGTTAAATGGCGTATTTCTCTTTTAGGGTGGGACATATGGTATTCTTATTGATACATAAAATTCTACGATAGCCATCTATAATGAGCGCGCGCAAATAAGGCATTCCAATTTGAAAGTGTGTACATGGAAAGGGTTGGCAGAAACATTATTGGAGACTCGTAAAGAAATTAACAGAGTTCGAAAACGGTAGATTGAATATTGTTCCGTTTGATAGAATCAAATTACATTTGATATTTATTTTTTTTTATTTTTGTTTTAAAGTTATGAACAAGAGATCCCGCCACCAACCGTTCCTGTGATTATCGATATCACAGATGACAATATATATAATGAAGCAAGAGACTCTGATGATATCCCGACAAAGAGGAAACGGAAGGATACCGCAAGTACGATATTGGACAATTCGGATGAAAAAACATCTGCAACTGTTCGGTAAGATAATTTCGAATCTTTATTATTATCGCCATCATCACCATCACCACCATCACTATCACTACCATTACCATAACTATCACCATCATCATTATCATCATTCAATTCAATACAACTTAATATGCAAATTAATCATAGTACGTCAAAGAGAGTTCGTCATAAACTGGAAAAAAATGATTTCAAAAAACAACGCGATCTTGCTGCTTCCGAATTTTCACAATCAATTGAAGCCGATTTTCGTCCATACGATGCCGAGTACATCAATCATGAAGGGGATGATATCGAACCTGTGCTCCAATATTTTGAGAAAATTTGGATGCAAACTATTTCTAGCGAAGCAGCCATTAATACGACAACAGAAGAAACAATATTGATATCTCGGTATTACTATCTAAATTCGTATTGTTTTTCTGTATATTGATATTTATTAATCTATACATTTATATCAGTGATCCTAAAACAGCTTCCACTGTACGACTTTCAATGTTTGTTCGACACAACAATCCTCCCCCTGTTGACGATTACTTTTCTGATGACAACACAAATCGGCAAATCTTGGAGACGTTCGTCAATGAGTTGAACGCAAAAAAACTTTGTATTTCTGCTCATATTCGTGAATTTATTATTAAAATCTTAACGATGACATCATCGTCATCATCCAATGAACAAAAACAACTTCAAACACCCCCGCTATGGTTTTGTCGATGGCCGGATGAGCTTAAAGAACGTTTATGTGACTTGATTCGTCTGGAAGGAGAGCATATTATAGAGTACTTGTATGAATCGTGTAGGTACCCTGATCTTGACTCTGCTGCTGCTTATCAAACTCAATTAGATTCTATTGAATTCCAAGAAAGATCAAGGTTTATGCAGAAAGCAATGGAGGTGTGTCAAATTTCATTATCTTCTGCCTGAAATTATTGAATTATAGTTATTCTAGTGTTGGAGTTTACTTGATTGACATTATGATATTGTTTGATTATTCATATTTAGTATTTATTGTGAATTAGATTAAACAAATCTAATGCCGAACAGACAAATTATTAATATTTATTTCTTAAAATATATATGCGATTTTTTGTTTTTTCCAGTTCAATTCTTACTTAACTTTAAAAGATGCTATTTTTAGGCACTGCTAGGAATGTTAGAAGTTTTATGGGACTCAAAAATGCTCAAATTAGGATTCCAAGGATTTGACGATGACGAACAACAAGACGGTATTTTTCCTATGGTAAGAGCTTATAGATTTAATTCATAAGAATCATTATCATTTACTATAGGAATTAACATAACTTATCGATCTTCTTATATGTATTTTTAAAGGTAAAAAAATCAATATTCGATAAATGTATATCAACGATAGAAAGCTTTAAGGTATCTCTTTCCGAAATTATTGGATCCTCTTCTGTTCTTTCTGATAGCCAGGAGTGGAAAAAATGGATCACGAGATATTATGTGCGGTATGTTGTTATTTTGAGTTTGACTTTAGGATTTGATGTTGATGATTATATTACATAATTCACGCTCTGTTGAATAATATTTTTTCTTTGTGCTTGATATCTAGCTATTATTGGGTACGCGCGCATATCGAGCTTTGTAGAGGCCAGTTATCCACAGCGATGAATTACTTCAAGTTTTGTAGAGTTAATTATGAAAAATACGCCGAGTCTCATCATGACACAAATGCTTCAATTGTGATGGCAAATTTGTGAGTATATATATAAAATTCTTTGCTTCTATTCCTTAGATCTTTATACATTTTAAAATATTAAATAATTTATTCTATTTTATATATATATGGTCATTAGTTATTATGACGCGTATATGGATAAAAATACAATAAATAATAAAATAAAATGGGTTGAGATAGAGGATTCATTACCGAAAGACAACTGGTCACGTTCTGTTCGATATTTTACGGAATGTGTCAGTTTACTGGTGAATTCTGTCTCGATGAACATCCATGACGACCAAGTTGTTCAATTTTGGACTATATTGAATACGGTCTTTAATGTTTTTTTATATACAAACATTACCTTGATTACAAGGCATCAATTTAAATAATAATTTGATTTTTATTCTTAGATAAATGAACAAGTTAATGTCATTTCTGATACCATCAAGAATATAGACACAATAGGTGAGAAGCACTCATCAAGCCATCTTCCAAAGAAATTTCTTGTAAACTTCAAATTAACAAATTTAAATAAATATCCTGTTAGCGACTCTACACGAAGATGACCAAATAAAATTCAAGAGTAGCATGCGTCTATTGTACAACTTACTCTTAGAAATACTATTCCCGCAGGACGAGCATTTCTTAAACACAACCTCTGACACCACCATTGGCGCTATCTTAAATCTCTTCTGTGTGAGAGTCTCGATTCTGTTGTTCAAATTGGTATCGATAAGTCCACTAGACAACTTGAGAGAGAAAATGGCTGATTTTCTAAGAACAATGCATAAACAGTTGGGAATTCGCGAAATGTGTGCAGCTGATAATGGTGCTTTTCTTAAACTTTGTTTGACAGTGCTTCCATCGTTGAATCCTTCAGAATATCAAGAGCATGATTTCCAGTGTGCTTATTGCTTGTATGGGTTTTCGCTTGGGGTAATTGATCATGTTTACGATTAGAATGTATATTTAGATAATTTTCAAAACTCTAAATCAAATCATTCGCATCTTAACAGGGGGATCCTGATTCTTTGGAAGAACATAAAACAGAGCCACTTAAATTGGACGATAAAATGGCCAAAGTCATTTTCCGAATGATTAATTCTTCCATCACAGAGAGATCTCTGCGGACTGGTCAACTGAAAACTGGTATTAAGGAGGCGTTGGATGAAATCTCATCATTGATTGGTTTGCCTGACTATAATGATCGTACGTATTTTTTTTATTTGTTATTTTAACATTCGATCGATTGACTGATTGACGTTTCTTTAGTGAATGTTCAGGCAACCCGGAATTGGATTGATGCATATTTGCATATGGATATTGACTTTGATGATTGTATTCTCCATCAGTATGTCGACTATCGGCTATTCAAAAAATATGATGCGCCAGGTATGTATTTATAATTTCTGACGCTACATATATAATGAAAGTCGATATAACGGACGATCGACAAACGCATTCGGCATATAACGGACTACTTTTCGGAACCAGCTACAAATAGCATTATATAAATTTTGTCTGTTACAGCAGATCTGTCGATTTACCGGACAATATGGCAGGAATGGAGGGTGTCCGTTATATCAACTTTCACTGTGTAAAACGAAAGATCCACTAAAACAAAAAAAAAAACTAAATATTCCAGAAATTCAAAAACAATTGTTTTATTTGCGTGGAAAAATCTTTCAATATCAATACAAAACACGCGCTAAACCAAACCAATCTAAGGCTATTTTTGTGTTGCAAAGTGCAATAGAACAATTCACGGTATTATTGACTTACGATTTTGTGTTTAGTTAATTATTATCATCTCATCTAGTGCATTAATTCTTTTCTTTTTCAAGTTTCATTTATATTATAATCCGAATAACTTCTCTTCGTGGTTCGCGTTAGCTCATTGTTATTCGAAACTAGCCGAAGAGAACATGGCATGGAACGCGCTTGAAATTACAAAAGAATTTGTTAAAATTGCTGTTTATCAAAAGGTCAAATCTCATGAAAATCAACTTTATCCTCTACCGATGACATTCAATTCAATTTTTTTTTACTAACTGAACAGCATTACATAAATTAGATGTCATTTCTTTGTTTTACTCTAGCTGCAAAAATACAAAATAGCCCAATCAATCAAGGCGAGACAATCTCACGTGGGGAATTGACTAATTTCTGGCGAGAATTTGGATCTCACGTCTACTTCATGACTACGCAACCAATGTCGCGACGTAGTTTTTTACCTGTTCGAAGTGACGAACAACCGAAATTACGTATACCATCTGAAGAGGATTTGTATGCTTTTTCTGCGTATTGTTTCGGGCAGGCTCTTAAATACGAAAACATGAACTATGAGATGAATGCAACGAATCGAGATTGGAGGTTTGTCATATTTTATTGATTATAAACTATTAGTAAAATCAATCAATTACAGCTTTTCATATACCCCTTAGAATACCTTATATGCTTGGTAAAAGTTTGCAGAAACTTGGAAAGAATCCACATGTAAGTGTATGATCGATCTAGTTCAATCTCAATAAATTCGGTCATTAACTAATCTAAAAAAAAATTAGATCGTTTTACGACTATACAAAGTGGCACTCGATAGAACACCTGAAAGATCAAGCAATTCAGGTCAAGAGAAAATTATCGACACTGAATACAAGTTAACATCCACACTCGCGAAATACTTGTTCAGAAATCAGATTGAGGTAAATTATTGGATATGCTGTGTAAACTTTCCTTATGTTTATAAAATTGCAATTAATTTTTGATTTAACCAAATCAATAGCCTGAAATTGTTCGAAAATACCTAGAACCTGAATTACACAAAGAATTTCTAACGAAAAACGGTGCAAATAATCGAGATATTCATCATCTTCACCCTCTAAATAACAATATCTCGGCCGAGCGAAGATATGCATTTGATTTAATATTTGCACGACTATTGGAAATTCGTAAAAATGATAAGATGAAGTGGCATCATCGTCCGGTGTTTAGGGTACATATATATATATTGTAGTTAGTTACTTATCTAAGCTATTAACTAAAAAAGAATAATTTGTTCTATATATATATAATTTCATTATCTTCTTTAACTAGCATGCTTGGCTATTATACTATGTTGACAACAATCCAACAGAAGCCAAAAAGCTGCATTCGTCTCTGTTTCAACTAAAAGCTTCAACGAAATCAGTAATGAATGTCTGGAGACCTGAATTCGAAAGGTAATAATAAATATATACACGATTAAAGCGATAAAGATTAATATAGTTTCGGATTCTCATTTAATTAGAGCGGGGAGACATTTCGTTTATGTTGGAAATTATATCGATTTCCTCATTGAGCTTGCCAAAGATACTCACGATGTAGATTGTATCAAAAGTTTATGCGGAAAACTCAAAAAAGCTCAGAATATATTACTTCGATATAAGGAACTTAACGAGGCAGCCGAAGAAGTTCATCAATTCATGCTTGCTGATCAACAACCTATAATATACCTTCCACAACCCACAACAAAAACTCAATCACCTTCATCTTTACCCACAAATCCACCAATACCATCACAGTCTTCAGCGTTTACGCATCTTCCCGTCCAATCGCAAAGTTCATCGTCTTCACTACCAATTCCTCAGGTAATCATACAATCTAATACATCTTCCTATCAACCAATGAATCCTTATGATTATTCTTATCAGCCGCCGGTTGTTTCTCAACAAATAGAAAATTCCTCTGAACAAAGTATAAATCACCAGTCCAACTCTACTACTTCATCATCAAAATCTAAACCAACCATAATAGAATTAGATTAATCATAGGGAATGTGGGATCGTGAGATTATAAATAAAAATTTCAAATTTCTATCAGGAATTAGAAAATTTTCAGCACAGGATTATTTATTTGATTTTATTTATTCATTTAATTAATAAAAATTATCTTCTTTGAAATGAATAAGTGTATTGTCGCATTTAATCAATCATTCATCTTCAGATTGAGCCATCTGCCGCTCTTTTTTCGCTCGTCTTCGAAAATCCGCATAGCAAAAAGAACAAAAATGATGAGTTAACTTGTGACGACCACAAGCTTGACACGCGCCGATATTTGAAATATCTTTAAGCGAACTATTAGCCATTGATCGAATTCGTTTTTTACTATGCGAAGTTCTTTGTTTAGGTACCGCCCACAAAAAAGGACCGAAAAGTTGTCCTAAAATGCCTGTGTTTATCGTTATGGTTTCACGCCATACATTCGTGAAAATAGCAGAATAAGGAAGGAGGCTGTCCACACGTAAAATTTTTGGGAATAAAGGGATGCTTTTATTATTGATGATTGATGATAATTGACGATTAAAGAGATTCGAAACTCGGAAAGTCGCCATTCTTAGCATTATAGCGTTTTTCAGCCTCTTTTTAAGTACAAATTCGCCACGATACCGTCAATTGAATATTCCGCTGCAATGGGGACACGTCAAGTTGGGGTATTCGATATACTACGTAAATCAAATCTATATGTAGCAAAAAATTTGTTAGTTTACTTTTACATAGTATATCGAATACTCAACAGTTACAAGTCAGTATTGTGTGTATCTTGGAAAAGGGTTCTTGATTGATTTCAGACAAAACGGCTTCACATCCGACCTTTTAAAACATCAACCGAGATTGAAGTCGGTTCCTTGAAGCAACCATTAATGATGCAAATTTTAATAATGCGGAGTAATTTGATGATTTACAAAACAAATGAATGAATGAATAAATTAAAATAAATATAATACAAATAAAAAGTATATAAAACTTTTACTAATTTTAATGAATAAAATATAATATGCTAAATGGGTTTTTTGTATTTAAATTAGATATGCAGTTTATTATGACTTATAGCACAAAAAAGTGTGCTTTAATAAATAATATAAAATTTTTTTTTTCTCCTATTTGCAGTCGATTGATTATTTGTGGTTTCGTTTATTAACGAAACAAAGTGGATCCAAGAGAAGGTAAATTGTTGTGTGTGGAATTACATCTTTTTTCCTGATAGAGTAATAATCAATTAAGAATAATTAATTGTTCATTGCCCGACTCTTGTTCTCCTTCGGGATCTTCTATCACATCTGTTAACATGGATTCCCTATTGCCAGAAGCAGCAGCAGCGCCAACAAAGAATTGATCTACCATTTGATGACCGTCATCCAATGAAGATGCTGACGATTGTCTTATATCAGAGTCCTTATTTTTTAACTGCTGTCGATGATCCTCAAATTCTTCTTCATTAAAGGACTGATCATCAGTGGAAATAATAGATTCCTGTTGTTGGAATTCAATCATCTCGCTTTCGTCATAAGATTCGCCGCCAAAAGTCTCTGCGGCTGATGAATTAGCCTCCCATACATTTTCAACCTCTCCCGATGATGAATTATCATCCGAAATTGGTATTTCTGAATGCGGATTATATTGGAGTTCATCTTCAATTTCTCGGTCCTCGTCTTGGGTATTAGGATCCGAGAGCTCGTTAAATTCATTGTCGGTAGCTTCTTCCTCGATATTGAAAAACCAATGATATTGAAGGATAAGATTTTTAACGATTCCGGTATGAATTCCCAAATTTGTCATTGTGATGCCGAAATTGGGCGATTTCAATAATGTTGGTCCAAAGACGATTGCCAAATTATGGGCATACATGTGATTGATCTCTTCATAATCAGTGATTCTATAAAAGAAAAAATAAATGCGAAATTTAGGAAAACTTTTATTGAAATCTTGCAAATCTTGATACTTAAAATTTATTTTACCTTTCTAAATGTTCCATTAATCTCTTCAATAAACAATAATTTGAGTTTGGTAATCTTTGCAAGAGATCTTTAATTGCGGCGGATCTTTGGTCATGATTCTCAAGTGCTAATTAGTACAAAAAGTTATTATATGTTTATCGATATTTTCAATTCATCATAAGAAAAAAATTTTTTTACTTACCAGCGACTTTTATGAAATCGTCATATAATTCGTAGGTCATTACTGGTTCGGGTAAACTGCGGAAGAAAAGTTTGAGAGCATCAGCAACAACGTAAATGTCACTATACTCTTCTCCGCTTAAATCAACCAAATGAGCGTCTAAAAATGTACGATAAAATTAGTTGAGCGAAATAAAAATATATACATAAAAAATATGACTTACTTGTATTAAAGGCTTTTTGCAGATTATTAATTGCAGTTTGAGAACCAGGTACACGATAAATACCAACTTCATTCAAACCTATAGATACAAAATATAATTTAAATATTACATTTTTATTTGAAAAAGGAAAAAGGAAAACCGAAAAATCATAGTATATCTAGGATAAAATAATTACCTCGTTTTTCAATTTCGCATATGCATTTTTCAACAAGAATTGGGATTTCACCATTTCTCATCAGCGTCGATATTGCTTTGCCATAAACTTGAATAAGAACAAATATATTAGCAAAAAATAGTTTATTAAAAATAAAATAAAATAAAAAGATTAAATAATAAACACCTGAACCACGCGTCTTTGGTGGTGGCTGTGAATCCATAGACATATCAATCTTCTCATTATTGTTATTATCATCATGGTGAACAGCATCAGCTTTAAATACGGTGTATCTTCTGGCAGCGCCTTCTTTAGCAGATTCAGTGATTTTACTTATCCAATCGTGCATATCCTCATCATTAAGTGCTTGGAACAGGTATTGACCGCCTTCTTCACTTACAATTCGAAATACTGATTCTTTTTGAATGAGTCCATAATCGACGGATGTTTGCGAATTAATGAGATTTATCACCAACACTGATTTTCCCGAAGGATAATTTGTCGAGGATGACGATGTAGAAGAATTATTGTTATTATTATTAGCATTATTAAAACCTGTATAAATCATTGAAAGAGGGCGAACTTTCTTTAAGAGTGCATGCACTTTATTTTTTATTTTACGGCCTCCATTGTGATGTGATTGATCCTGTTGAAGCTGCTGTTGTTGCTTCTGTTGTTGTTCTTTTGAACGTTTCTCTAAGAGACGAGCTTCTTCGTTCCTTTGTTTCTGTAATTTATGTTGGGTTTCTCGAATTTCTTTGATCAATTTTTCTCGTTCCTTTTGATCGCGTTTCAGTTTCTCTTGTTGTTCACTTAATAATTTATTGAATGTCGGTTGTTTCAAAGATTTGCCCAAGGATGAAGGTAAATTACCAAATTTCATATTAAATGTTTCTTTAGTTGAAATCTCTTTTAATACACGTAAATCCGTTTTCCCGATTTTTAATTGCAAAGAATTATTAATCTTTAAAAATCGAACATCAATAACCGGATGTCGATGATCTGCACGTTCCACTAGATCCAATTGAGAACGCACAAATATTTGAATTAGATTATAGACGTAGCGCCTTTTATCGAAATTAATCAATTTATCCGATTCGAATGACATGTCCGGAATATTGCAACAAATCTCCAACATCCTCTCCAATAGCCATCCAACACATGGCACCAAAGGAAGATTATAATTACTATTATTACTATTTTCAATATCGTTAACAGAATGATGTAATAATGGTTCCAATGTTTCTAATGAACAATTACGTTGAATTGAAATTTCCAACCAAGCTCTGGTGAATAATCTACACTCTGGACTAATTAATCCACCAACAATAGCACTTTCAACAAAGGATGGAACGCTTCTTCGTGACTCATTAGATTCGTATTGATAATGATGAGATGTTGTTTCATCTTTTGGATAAATATCCATCTTGGCCATTCGTTTTCTACTTAATGATATCATATTAAGCAATGAATCGATTCTCTTCACTCTTGACAGGAAATCAATTTGAGTTGAAGTAACTTCATGCATTGTCCAATTACGAATACTATAATGCACACGAAAAAGAGCCTGAATCGATGGTGGAAGAACGTTAATCACCGAATCTTTGTTATTTCCCACCCAATTTGTTTGAGAGAGTGTGGTGAATATATCTGTGATCACTAGTTCATCGTCGGGAATCCAACTTGTCTGTTTCTTTGGATACCAGCCTAATACTTCGGCAGATTGAGTTTCCAGTATTTCAAAAGCTAAAACCCAATCGTTTGGTGAGACTGCTTCGAATAATTCAAGTACAATAAGATCAATACTATCCAATAAATCGGCAATATTATTATTTTCAATTGACTGGATAATAGGCGGCAAGTCAGTTGTGTCATTTCGGATATTGGTTTTTTCAGTTTTAAGCATTGTATCCAATAAAGCAATTGATTTCCCATTCTGTATGTCACATGAGGGCTCATAACTTTTTAATAATGCCAAACGTTTAAGAGATAAAACTAATGCCTTGACTTCTTCCGCGTAATATCGAGAAAGTTCGTCGTCATTAACAATATTAGACCATTGATCAACTTCCACTCTAAATTCATCGATAAAATGCATCATTCGATTCTTTAAAGCCAGATCGTCCGAAAAATCATGGAATGATTCCTGAATCCAATATTCAAGTACGGATAGTATTCGAGTTTGTATCATTGCAAGCATTTTCCAATCATATGTTGTTGTTTCGGATGACTCTGATGCCTTTTCTTTTGTGAAAGTGATGGTCGGAATGGAATCTTGGGGATATTTTGCTAAACTTTTGGCATTCATGAATCTCTTCTTCAGATTGTCCAATAACATACTTGCACTACAAAAACTACGATAGGTGGCAAAAAACGTTGCCATATATTCAACAGAACTAATGGTCAATTGTCCTTGTTTTGCGATAATTAATGGTGGTTCACCATTATCATCAACTACACTTGTACTGTAAGAAGCAACACCATTAATCAGTACATCCAATAGACGTTCCAAAGTTCCAGCTTTAACCACCACTATTAGTGAAGATTCGTCATTATTACCAACGGTATTATTGATTCCTAATGAGGTAGATGAAGGTGATAATTGATGATGGGCGAGAGCAATAAACGAATTTCTTTTTGATAAATTTTCGGCGAATGATGATGACGAAGACTCAACAATACTTTGTGGTCTTGATCCTGTTGCATCTCTAATCGATTTGAATACTAATTCACCATCTTTTACAAACAACAGAATCTCGTCTACACCAGCAATGTCTTTCATTGATTTCAGTAATAATTTATCACCACCTCGGCTTTGCACAAATCCACCTAACCAATTTCTCGTTACCAAATCTAATCCTGTATTCCAGGTGGTTGAGGTTAATGGTCCGATTTTCGCTGGTGGTAATGATGTTGTTCTTTTTCTGGTACTTTTGAATTTATTATTATTACTCGAACTATTTTGATGGTTAATATTAGTATTATTGTTGGTTGCTGTTTGGCCGTGTTGATGATTATTAGATTTGACATCCAAAGAATTCGAATTAACCTCATGTAATAAATTATTACTGTTATTGTTATTATCATCAACGTGATCGTTATTGCTAGTATTAAAGGCAAAAGAGGTGGCATTTGGAGATGGTAATGATGTGTTGGTGGTAGTTGCATTTCCATTACTATTCTCATGATTAATCGAAGAATTTGATGATTTTCTTCCAAGGGCCCCACTTGCATCTAAAAATGCTTTACGTTCAAATAATCGATTGGATGGAATAACTTCAGTGAATAATAATGGAAAATAGGCTGAGTGTGATTTACGTTGACGTGCATTTAATTCTAAATATTGTCCATGCACACGTGGTTCACATGCTAATGACGATTCAAATAATTGCCATGCATCAAGTGAAGAAGATGCAGGAATTGTATTCAAATGTTGAAAATATTTTTGAAGCTGAGGCTTTGCTGTGAATGAACATGTGCTTGATTCGATTGTTTTTAATCGATTATTAATAATGGTAGCAACTGAATCACCACCACTAAATACTGTATCTATTTCAAATGCTTGGAAAATTAAATCGTAAATTTTCCAATATTTTTCGAAATTAATAACACCTGATAATCCATTGATGCTATTAGTTCTCGATCCATGTCGATTATTAGTAGTAGCAACAGTAGTGGTGGTGGTGGTGGTTGTAGTAGTAGTATTGATGGTCGTAATTCCAGGTCGATCGATGAAAGCAGGTATTGAAGTATAAATACGCTCAAGATTAAGAATAATCAAACCAAAATATGGTATTAATTGGGTCGACGGACTCTCATCTTCATTTTTACTGCTTTCAATGTTATCCTCGTCATTTTTTCGATGTAGTAGTAAAGATCTTAAATTAGATGAATCGACATCTCCTTCCATTCCACCACAATCTAATAAAATTTGCGCCCATTCATTTACAATGACTTTTCGCAAATTCTCAGGTACTCTCTTCCATGTTTCCTTTAGACGGACCACACCAGGAGAGCAAACACCCGATGCAACAGCCATCCATCCTACCATGTCTCCTAATAATTTACATTCTACACCTGTGCGAATCCAATGGTTTAAAAGTGCCGGTCTACGAGATGCATAGGCAGATTGTTGTGTTGCTATCAGTAGATGATGCAATATTAGTCTGGTAATAAAATGAGGTTTGGTAGCTGTGAAATTTAATGGGTTTTCTCCACTGTTCATATTTGCACTCGATGGAGTAAAGTTCTTTAGATCTCTGGCTGGATTGAATTTACGAAATTCCGCGAAATGATAAATATAAAGTTGTCGTGCTAATTCTTCGGGTTTCATTTTCAAGAACAATGCTGGTGTTAGTCCAGTGATAAGTAAATTGGATAAATCCAAATCCGCTGATTCCTGATCTGATAAATAATCTTGTGAGAATTGTGGTGATGGTGGCAACGAAGGCAATGCTGCGTTAGAAATTTCTTTTTCTATTCGTGTCCTTTTGGTCTGTATTAATTTTTTGAGATTTTCCGCTCCAGGGATATCATTTTTTATCAATTCTTGATCCACAGTTTCAACCATTTCATCAAAAATATCTTCTCTTGCCAAATCTGCATCAAAGCAAATACACCAAGTCTCCAAAATTGTAATTAGTCTTTTGCTGATTGCTTTAGATTTGAATAATTCGTCATCTTCAGAGAGAGAAAATTGGACGCTAGCATAACGTCTTAATTCTCGGAATATAAAATGCACATCAGTGAATAATGGATATGTGAGCAGAAAAGCATAAAGATACTCATCATTATCTTGTTCGTCTTTCTGAGTTTGAAATACGATCTCATGAATCAACGAATCGATTGATCCTCCTCGAATACAGCGTTCTGTTTTGGGTTGTTCCACTTGATACGATTGTCCTGGGTTCTCAAAAATATTAACTAAATGTGATTGTTGATATTGAGGTTCTTTTGTGACTAATTCAGGATGTTTTCCCGTTCCCCAAAAAGCCCTGCCTCTTCTTAAACTAGGACCCCCTCCTCCATCATTTTTTTCGGAACTGACAGGAACAGTAGTAGCACCATTCAAATTTTCTGAAGCTTCATTGTTATATCCGTTTGGTATTTTCTCGTTGGATATTTCGTTGGGAGATTTTAATCTTACCATTTTTCTTAGACTGGCTTCTTTGGCTGCAAATAATTTAGCTGCCCATAATTTCCTTTTCTCACTACTGGATGTAAAAAAAACTCTGTATTGCTCTTGTTCGCCATCCACAATCGAAAGGTATAAAATTGTACCAGAAGATGACGGAGTACTTTGTGTCGCGGATAGATTTGAAGAAAATGAATGAATAGATGAATTATCATCATTAACACGTTGAGTTGGAGAGAAATAATTTGGTTGAGATGAAGGAGCGATATAAGGCGAATAGCCAGATGTTAAATTTGGATCAGGAATAACGTCGACATTATGGATTGGATAACATCCGTCTAATTTCCATTTGGTAAAATATCCTTTGCCTTGTCTGTTAGTATCATTACTATTGTCTTTATCGGTAATTCCACGTGTGCTGCTCACCGATCTGTTATCCCAATCTTGTCCATTTGTAGAATCTATTAATCCATTTGTGCCAACATTATTGTTATTGTTATTGTTATTTAATGAACAGTTAGCAGCAATAGAGCCTCCACCTCCACCATTACCACCTCCACCACCGCTGCCACCAACATTACCACTAACACCAAATATCAATCCATCCAATAGAGTATATCTTAACCATTTGCGCTTGCAAATGACTACATGATTTTCAAAAATGAGTAAGCAAACGTATTTTTTAAATCGCATCGCCACCGTACGATCCACTTCACAGCAAGATTCCCCAAAACAATAATTCGATATTAACGGTGAATTAAATAACTTTTCTCCGCTATTATTGTTATCACTAATATTATTATTATTATTATGACCATTTGAGCCACCATCTCCGAAGATTAATGTCCTTAAATTAGAATCAAAATTTATGGGATTCAAGTCCATCCCTCGCTCATTTTCTGTAATCGGTGATAGATTAGAGGAAATTTCATTTCCACTAATAAAGTCTTTATTATTATTGTCAGTGTTCTTACTCGCCCCAAAAAAGGTTTTTAAGACTTCTTCAGAGGGTGGTTTATAAAAATATAATTTTGATCCTCTCAAAATAACACGATAAACTTTCCATCCACGTGAATTTGCCGATTTTGGATCAAAATCGATTTTCTTATTTAAAAATCCCTCTTTTAATACTATAAGTGATGTTGATGTATTACTATTGTTAGATTTCGTAGTGGTGATGGATGAAAATGGTGTATGATCAACATGTTGAATACTAATTGCCGGCAATCCTGAGTTGCTATTATTATTCCTTGAATCATTTGTTGTTGTATGTTGATAAACAAAGTCATGCTTACTGTTATTCTTATTTCTCATTGGGATTGGTTCGGAAGGTCGGCGTAGATGCTCTGAGCGGGAGGTTGGGTCAATTTTTATTTCATCTAGAGATCTCGACAGTCGTCGATCACCAATCGAGTAAACTTGAGATTCATAATTACTAGTAGGATTCTCTTGGCTAAACTTATCTTCTTTTATGAGTTGTTCTTCACTCCCATTTTTGTTTTGCCTGACTTGCTTCGGTTTTTTAGAAGTAAAAGCTTTATGTACTACTAGTAATTTTTTAGGCGCCTTTGACAAAAAAAGACTAAGAGCAACATTGGCTGCATTGGCTGCCACGCTACTAGTTTTAGTGACTGCCATTGGTAGATTCTCGTTATTGTTGCTGGTGTTGCCGTAATTAGGATTATTGTGGCTACTAGCATTACTATTAGTGTTATTGTTCGATCGAAAATCAAGCGTTGTTCTTGAGAGAGCTGTTAACTCACTATTGTTTTTATCGGATTTCTTTTTCCTAGTACTCATGGTTTTCTTTAGCATAGAGCTCATCTTGTTGTATATACTAAGATATTTTCAATAGTATTATGTATTTATGTAAAATAGCTGCCTTTATTGTCGTCGTTTTTGAAATTTAGATAATTTTCATGCAAGCGGCAATAATAAAGAATAGTGGATATGCTGTTGTTGTAATAGTTTGTATTTTTAAACAAAAAAAAACTCTTTTTTTAATGTAACAATAAAAGCAGTAAGACAGGAAAATCTTGGAGATGGAAAAAGAGCGGGAAGCTAGTTTATAACACAAGCGAGTGTGTCTCGAGAAGTGAAATACTCAAAAATTCTGTAAAACCTTATTGATTGCAGCAATGCACTGAAAAAACGATTGCATCACGAATTATTTATTTTGCAGCACGTAATAGTGTCACAAAAGTTAAATAGGTACCTTGGTCACACAGATCCTATGCTATGTAACATACGCGAAACTCCATAATTTACCAATCTACCAATCTTGGGTATAGAGAATTGAATTATAGAAATTAACATTAAGCATCAGAAATTTCGGACAAACTCGATCCAAGTTCAAACTGATCGTACCCTATGTTTTGATTGCTGTCAAATTTTTTGGATTCTCGTAAATGTCTAGTATTCACCATATTTCTCGCACGAACTTTAGAAGTTTACAACTTTTGCGAAAGCGAACTTTCTTTACCTCATGTAATGGTGAAACTCACAAACTAAAAAATATAATTCGACCAAGCTCTTTATTTTTTAAACGCAAAAATCGATACCTTAATACTAGTACGCGAGAACCTGCTCGCAAAAGCATTGTTGAAAGTGATAAAACAACAGAATGGAGTGACCTGACTCCCGGACAAAAAGGTACCGATCACCGGCTATTTAAAGTAACAATGTTTTCTCAACTTGTTAGCACTCAATAACATGTTTTGGGAAATAAAGTTGCTGGTGGTGCAAAAGCTACAATAAACTTAGGAATAGTCGCAATAGGGGTTGGAATTTTCGGTAAGAGTTTGTGTATTTTTATAGTTTATTAGCTTGTATGGTAATAATGATAGCTATTTATCGGGAATTCGCAAGGTACACTCGTTTATTTATTATTTTCCGAGCTTTTCGGTTCCAATAGCTCAACTAAGATTTTTGGGGAAGCATTGGAAAAAATTAGGGCGAATTCTGAAGTAAGCCTATCAGTCAGCTTTTTCCTGATTTATCAATGATTAAACGTTATTTTCTTATCTTTATTTTTATGCTATAGTGTCAGCAACTACTTGGTGTTCCTATAAAGGTATTAAAACTTTTTCATATATAGTACCTAAACCACCCAGAGAATCAAATTTTCACATGATATATCTCATCGACAGCGTGTTTATACGTTCTTAATAAGTAAAAAATTTTTGAATATTCTGTACAACGATTATTACTTGATTAGAACTTATAGACCCCTGGGTCTATTAAACGGGGTATTTCATCAGATGAGATTATGTCATCATTATTTCTTAGATATTTTACTATTTGCTATCTAGGGTCATGGAGAACCGAGTTCACATCCAAGACAGCGAAGACATAGAGTCGGGTAAAATTATAAATTAATTTTAAATTTTACTTTTTTTCAAATTCAAAATTAATCTTCAAATTATTAGCTCTCAAATTGTCAAGGATACCGATGGCACAGAGCATCGACTTATGAAATTCTATGTTGAGGGACCAGAAAACGAAGGAGTTGCTATACTCGATATGATTAAAGTATGTAATGCTCTTTTCTTTTTAAATCAATACTAAAGATTTTACCTTGTAAATGGTTAATTATTAGAATCAGCAGGAAAAATGGGTTTATAAATATTTAATAGTTGATGCAGCAGGTAAATTTTTTCTCAAAATTTTCTATCAATGAAATTTTTCTCGGCTAAAACTCAAGTTTCAGCAAAAGGCATACGAAGAGGGCAAAGGATATTTGTTGAATATAATGCTAACAGTGGTAACGACATTGAGAAGACAAAGAATACCAAAATCTAATGTATGTTAAAGATTAATTACTTTCTTTTCGCTCGGTATTCGCATGGTTCAAATTTTAGAACTTGAATAACTTTTTCATTTAAAATAAGGACCTAATTGGCTTAAAGAATCAAGCTCAAATAGATATTTAGAAAATATAAACTGTTATTGTTATCTAGCTATCAATCCTTTCAGACTTGATTAATGACAATTATTCTAATAACAATTTATATATTATTTTTGTATTCAATAAAAATTATCAATTTAAGCACAAGTAATATTTCTAAATTTATTCTTATAAATGGACAAATATTATAAAGGTATTTTGTTTTTTGTGATCCAGGAAAAAAAGTTTTTGAATTTTTATCATAAATTTTATTATAAAATTTGATTAAAATTAATATTAAATATATATAATAAATAATTTAATTGTTAAATTTTAAGACTTAATTTTGCAATAATTACTAATTCAATCTTTATGAAATTTAAAATATATTTTTATCGAATTTATAGCAATATGCTTGTGTAATTTGAAGTTATAATATAGCAAATTGATAAAAATAATGCTTAAAATGTATTTTTTAAAATAAAATAATTTTTTATTTTGTTTTTTTTAGAAAAGTATTGCATTATTTATTCTTGAATAAAAGTATAAAAGAATAATATAAATAATATAAATAATTAATTTAGATTATTCTTTATTTAATATAAAAAATTATAGAAATTAGTTAAATTCTGAATGATTTTTATTAGAAGCTATTATTAATTTTTATTTTGAGATACAAATCTTTTGCACTAGATCATATTATTACTTAAATTTTATGTTTTAAGATTATAAAATTTAATTCAATATTTTCATAAGTAAAATTAAATAGTATTATTATTTTTATTTTGTTTATTAGTATTATTTTTAATGTTTTTTACCTTTGTTCAATTTCTTAATTTTATTAAAAATTATATTATAAAAGTTATTAATTTATAATTTGTATGGTGCATAACATCTAAAGTCATCAAACGTTTGTATTTTACAAAATGTATAAACTTTTTTACAAAGAAGTAAATGCAAAATTTAATCCGTGAATATGATAGAATAGGCTCTTTCTGAGTATATTCACGGATTAAATTTTGTATTTACTTCTTAGTAAAGATGTTTATACAGTTTATAAAACACAAACATTTGATGACTTTAGATGTTATGCACCATAATATTTTATAAATTTATAAAAATCATGCAAAAAACTTAAAGTATTTTTTAATTATTATATTTATTTATTTTTATATTTTCTATCTTTATTTTTTTATTTTGTATTATTTTATATATATTTTGTTATTTTATGTTATTAATTTATTTTATTTATTTATCTACTTATCTATTTTTCTACTTTTATTTTTTATCTTTTTATATTTATTTATCCTGATAAATATATTTTAACTAATTATAAATCTCTAAAATATATATTAATTTATTTTTCTATTTTTCATATTTAATAAATTAAAACTTTATTTTTAATTAGTATATTTATCTTTTATATTCTTTTCTTGTTTTTAATATTTATAAAAAAATATAAATACAAGTTATAATTAAATCTTAATATATTAGAACTTGAAAATAAATAATATAATAAAACAAATATCTTTTAATATTTAAACAATTTGTCTTTTTCTTTTAACTATATATTGTTACTATTTTCAGAATTATTATCTATGATGATATTTCTGAAATATAATAAGTGACTATATTTAATTAAAAAATCAGACTACTAAACTATCAAAACTTATAATTTAAAAATCAAATATTAAAATAACAGGATTAAATATAACTTTAACAAAAAACTTAACAAAATAAATATAATAGCTATCAAAGCTTTCTCAAGTACTAATTAATGATAGCTATATAAAAATACAAATATGAATATAATAAAATAAATATAAATGCTATCTCTCTTAGATCAGTGACATGAAAATAAAAATAATGTCTTTCTGACATCTCTCAAAACTTAAAAACAATAATAATACAAATAAATAAATAAATAATACAAAATAATAAATATAAATAATAAATAAAATATAAATAATAATTTTTTGTTAAGATAATATAATTAAAAGGCCAAAATAATATAAGTTACAACCAATTTTTATTTGATTTTATTAAAAACATATGAACTAATACTTGATTATTTCATAACTTGATAATAATTCTAAGTTAAGATATATATTGCTTATATATTTATTTCTATCTCAAAAAGAACCAATTAGAATCTAACATATTCTCATATAATATGAGTAATATATAATATTACTCTAATTTGTCAAGTATTGCACATTTAAATCTAGTATTAACACATGCTAAAATACTAAAATACTATTAATATTCCTTTGCTAATATGAAATAAACTTAATATAATACAAGATAATACTAATATAATACAAAGAAAAATTAAATACTTAAGAAGAATCAATTAAAATATAGAAATAGAACACATGCTAATTCTTGATAAAATGATTTATATTAAGTATATAAATCTAATTTATAATAAAAAATTAATTAAAATATCTTAATAAAAATTAATTAGATTCTTAATAATCATTATTCTTTATTAAATACTATTATTATGTAAGAAAAATATTATTATTATAGATAAATATTGAGCTTCTCATGATAATGATACTGTTATAATTGGAAATTTTTATAATTTCTATAATTTTCATAATTCTTATAATTTCTATAATTTTCATAAAACTATAAAAAATTCTATAATTTCTACATTTTTTATTATTTTATATATATATTAATTAATCAAATTTTATAAATTATCATTTTTATATAATTAATCATAAAATATAATATTTACTAGTGGAAAATATTTATTATAAATAAATCACAATTAAAGTTTTAAAAAAGATATTAATTAATCAATACAAAATCTAGCTAGTAAATAAATTACCTTTTATTTATTATTTAATAAAATTATACATTAATTGATTTTATAATTATTAATCTTATTATAACACTTACTTTATACACTACTGGATACTTAATTAGATTATTATAAAATATCAGTATTGTATTGCTATAGAACCATCATCATACTAAGTAAATACAAAGGAAGATATTTATTAGTAGTAGTATTATCTATTTTAAATTAATAGAATAGAAGAAGTCACATAGCACCATGATCCTAAAGCAATTGGATCAAATTATAAACTTATCGAAATAGATGTTGATTGAATATCTATATTACAAGATTACCTATCCAAGTCTGGAACTTGTAATAACACTATACTCATCTAACTGATCTTTTTATTTTAATGTGTCAACAAATAGTTAATAATATATAATATATCACAACAGTAACAGTAAAAATTCTATTCATTTTTGTGTAATTGTATTAGTTTTGCTAATGATTTATATAATATTCAATCATTCAACTGATCTATTGATTTAAGGATGATATAGTGCTAAGAGATAATATTTAATTTGATAAGTTTCATATAATATTCTAATTAATTTGTTAGTAAAAATTATTTCTTAAAAATGGTTGCTGAAATTATTTTTAAAAAACTGAAATATTTAGCTTCAAAACTGAATTGACAAATTAAAACTGAATTACTAAATTAAAACTGAATTGTCAAATTAAAACTAAATTATCAAATTAAAACCAAATTGACTAAAGATAATGCAGCAACTATTATAATATGATAA